GCCTGAAGCGTTGCATGGGGTTGGTGTGACCCAAGTGCAGGACTCGGCACTTAGCCTTGTTGAACCTCATGCAGTTGTCCCCGGCCCAACGATCCAGCCTGTCCAGGTCCCTCTGCAGGGCCTTCCTACCCTCCAGCAGATTGACACTTCCACCCAACTTGGTGTCATCTGCAAACTTACTGAGGGTGTACTCGGTCCCCTCAGCCAGATCATCAGTGAAGATGTTGAACAGGACCGGCCCCAGTACTGAGCCCTGGGGAACACCACTGGAGACCAGCCGCCAACTGGATTTGACTCCATACACCACCACTCTCTGGGCTCGGCCGTCCAGCCAGTTTTTAACCCAGCGTAGAGTGCACCCATCCAAGCTGTGTGCAGCCAGCTTCTCCAGGAGAATGCTGTGGGAGACTGTGTCAAAGGCCTTACTAAAGTCCAAGTAGATAACATCCACAGCCTTCCCCTCATCCACCAAGCGGGTCACCTTGTCATAGAAGCAGACTGGGTTAGTGAAACAGGATCTCCCTTTCATAAACCCATGCTGGCTGGGCCAGATCCCTTGGTTGTCCCGCACTTGCTGCATAATGGCACTCAAGATGATCTGCTCCATGACCTTTGCCGGCACTGAAGTCAGGCTGACAGGCCTGTAGTTTCCTGGTTATCTCCCTGTTCTTTATACCAGCATCCATTTATTTGCATAACAAAGAGCCACATGATAGCTTATATTTCTGGAAGACACTGTTTTCTTTTGTGTCTGATAATCTGCCTAGGGGACTGTTTTTGTGTACTCTGGCAATGAGTGCTCCAGTTTAGAGAAGTAAGCTATTTGCCTCTCAAATTTTTGTGGGCTCCCTCTCTTGTCTTTCACCATTGCCATCAGAGCAGGTGAAGCTGAGCATTCTGGATGGCTTCTTTGACAGCTCTTTCCTATATCTGAGTACCCTCATTTATGATAAATATTTTCAGACATCATTGTCACACTTCCTTATCTATTTTCATTTTTGTTAATTGAAGGCATGTTAGTGGCCTTGTTGCTTTGTTGCTATCTTACTAATGTCAAAACAGAAAAATCTCTACGTCTAAAGTGTTTCTTATGTTACTCCCTCTATTCACGTATTCCTCTGTTAATGTAATGGAGAGCATCACTTCTGATCTTGTTTCAGGGAGTCTTTTTGTTCTGGAAGCCATTTTAATGTTTGTGTTCATTGACCTATAGTCTAGGAAAAGAGTCTCTGGAAAAGGCCTTTGAGCTGATCGATTACCTTAACAAAGAGAGCAGCACTGCACCACTCACTCAAGCTTTGTTTCAGCTGAGTCTTATATACAGCCTTTTAGAGAAAAAAGGTGAACAACAACTGGCAGCACGAGTCATGGTATGTCTTAGTTTTCTGTAAATTATAATTTGAAATAATTAGCTGTAATGTTCTTTATAGTTATTTTGTCTTTTTAAGTGTTGACTGTTGAACATACTCGGTAATCTCACTAAGTTGGATGGGGATTCTAGATAGTCGCCAGTCTTGCCTGCTTTTGTTAAGTAGTAATGATCTCTTACAGAAATTCTAAATTTTTTGGATTGACTTCCACGCCCTGCCCTCAATGTTCTGTAGGGAATGTAACGCGGTGGGAACACAATGGTGTCTGGGGATTTGCTACAGTGGCTATAAACGTCAATGTAGACAGATACGTAATTAAACAGAGTCCATGACATTTTTCAAGTACAGAAAAGTTATTTCTAAAATTATTAGAGTGGCTGGAGATCATAGATCCAATTGCTTTGTATAGAGGCAGAGGAAAAAACCAAAACCGTTTTCTGTAAAAAAAGGAACATATTGAATGGTTGCTATTGTCCCATTCCAGCTGTGCAATAGATTAACATGATACAGTGCTACAGACTTAGCAATGAAATCAACATTAGCCTCGGTTCTTGCTGAGGAAATGTCTTTCATTTCTCTGTTTACCTTCTTATTATGTAGCCTCCTCTCTGTTCATCTACAGGTTTAAAAAGATTCTTGCATTCTTTACATTGTAGAATGGCATCCAAGGGATTTATTCTAGAAGGAAAATTATTAAATGATTATGTAAAATAGCAGATGTTTTTCTTTATGCTAGGTAAGGTAATTAGTGACTGCTTAAGGAAACTTGTAAGAAACAAAAAACACTGCCGCCATAATTTTCCTTATTTAGTATTTATTCAAAGGTTTTACAGATCTGCTGTGATAAACAGCCCAAGCTATGGTTTTCAATGCAGTGTCTATGAGGTTATATTTAAGGTCAAGTGTTTCAGCTAAGACGTGGTAGCTGGTCAGGCACATAGCTGTGGTTTTGGCAAGCTACAAAATTATAAACAGGAAGGGTGTTCAGCCTATAGACAAAGGTCAGTTTGTTTGTTTGTGCTAAACTAATGTGGATTAACTGTCACCTGATGGAGTTAAAAATGGTTAAACATACAGGAGTTGTAGTTAGTTGAGATAGTAAGCTGACTACATAGAAGTCTGAACTGTAGCTTGAAGAGTAGTCTTCAGTTTCCATGTGCAATTTAAGATGTAGACCTGGCCCATCTTTCAGATCTATATGGTAACTGATATTTATTCGTACATATAAGATATAGTATATGTAAATTGGAAGAGGTAGATGAAAAACTACTATTTTTAACTTTCACAGCTCTAAAACTTAACTTTTTTTTCTTTTTTTAAACTAATTTTGCATACAGAAAGTCCTCTTGGGAAGAATTAACTATTGCTAATAATTTTTCCTCCTTTAGCATAGAATAGAACACCTGCTTGGAGATAAAATTGATCAACAGCGTTGGACAGATGATGGGACCCTGTCTGAACGAGAGCTTCGGTCAACGCTGCTAGCTTTTGCCTGCACCCATGATATGAGAAACTGTAGAAGAACTGCCACTGAGATGTTTGAGAAGTGGATGTACTCTAATGGAACAATGAGGTACCACAAAAACTGGGCTTCCACTTCTTTCATTTACCTGTTTTCCTGTTACCTTGCCACCATTGTTTTGTGAAAAAAAAAAAAACACACACAAAAAAAAGCCCCCCAAAAAACCCCAATCAAACCAAAAAAACCCCACACCACCAGCACCACCAACTGGATATTGATAAAGCACTTCATTCTGTCTTTTGCTGTTCCTCATGTAGAAGTAATTGCTGTTTTAAGTTGAGAGGGAGAACTGTGCTAGAATTTAAGACAGTCTGCAATCTCATTAAGTGTGACTGCAAAACCAGCCGCAAATTGCTTCCATCTGTATTTCCTAAGCTGCATGCTCAAGGAGAATCACTTAGTAGCAACATCAAAGCATACTTTTTTATCTTGCAGAATTCATTCTGCTCTGGATTCACGTGCATTTTGAGCCACAGAAAATTACTCAGATTTTTGTACAATTTACTGTGCTTTCATGTGATTAATATGATTTGCTTTTTCCCAGTGACTTAAAGTATTAGGCTGGAATTAATTCAGTCCAGCAAACTTACAATTGCTACAGAATTAAATTGCTCAAGAGAGGCATCTCTTTCAAGCTAATCTTTTCATTTTGTGACTTTTCTTCCTTCTTTTCTCAGATGAGCATTTTTTATGTCCCCCCTTTTTTTTGTTTGTTTGTTTTGTTGTTGTTTTTTTGTTTTGTTATTGGGTTTGTTTTTCCCTGTAGTCTGCCCAGTGATGTTATGAAAGCCATATTTACAGCTGGAGCCAAATCTAGTGAGGGCTGGGAATTCCTCCTAAAGATGTACTCCTCTTCAGTTTCTGAAGCAGAGAAGAGCAAAATGATTGAGGACTTGGCCAGCACAGAAGATGTCAGAAAGCTGATCTGGTATGAAGGAGCCAAAGAATGTTATGCTGTGTATATTAAAAGTGTTAAAATCTTCTTTGAAAAAATGTATTGTCTTTTTTCTATTGTTGAAAAAATTTCTGATTGCTAAGGAAAATCTATGCACATTTGGTACAGACTTCCATAAATGTGAAGAACCTGATATTTTTCACTTAAAAATAATTTATGTAACCAAGTAGCTCAAAAGGCCGAATACTGAGTATGCATAAAGAGAAAAAAAATTGAACTTAAAGGCTTTGCACTACTGGTAACACAGAATTGCAGATTTTGTGGTAAAGGTAACAAAATTGCAGATTGTTCTATGGAGTCTTAAAAGATTCATATATCTTTATAACCAAGATAATAACTAGTTGCGATTTTTTTTTTTCTTTTATTTCTTTGGCTGAAATTTTGACCTTATGTTATACTCCAAATCTCAGTAATGCGTGGAGGACACCAAGGTTGTCCTGCTACGTGATTCTTGTTAGAGCTTTCCTCTCTTAACTTTTCTATGTACTATGTTTTCTTTTACAAGTTGCTAGAATTTACTTCATCTTTTCCAACAACAATGAAAATTCAGATACTTGGTTTAGAGTTAAGGTCACTCTGATACTTGGAAACTAAAGCTAAATAAGTACAGTGGTTATAAAATGGAGCATCGGTATGGTCCAGGTGCCAGAAGTTGCTTCTTGTTTGAGCTAATTCAGGAGTATCAGGAGAATCATGTGAAGATATGAATAGATGTTTTTTCCTGTCCCTTTTCATATGCTTTGTCTTTTAGGTTAATGAAGAACAGCCTTGAAGGAGAAGTCATCAGGGCACAGGAGCTTTCACATATCATAGCAACTGTTAGCCAGAGTTTGCCTGGGTATTTGCTGGCCTGGGACTTTGTCAAAGAGAACTGGGAAAAGCTTACACGCAAGTAAGGCTTTTGATGTAGCTGAAACTTCACACTCACAATGGCAAAAGCACCTGTTTGTTTCTTTCAAGCACAAAATAATAAATAGCTGGATTCATGTAAGAAGATTTGTATTAAAATTGTAAAGCCTGTTTTAAAATCTGATTTTACAAAACTAACTTGGAACATAAACTTTAAAATCTCACCAATGGTTAATGAGAATTTGGAGCCTCTTAGAGCCTCATAGTAATTTAAAAAAAGTCTTGATTTGAATTTCTGTTAAAAGGATGCTCTCTCTAAGATGATTGCTGCAGATGCAGGATATTTATGTGGATCAAATGCATTCAAAAGCAGACCCAGGGAATTCATTCAGCATTTATTTTTTCTGTCTTTTTACAGCAATCCCAAAACCTAATAACCAAAAAATCCCACTTGCTTTAGAAATACATACTCTCCTTAACTGGCCTTGAAGGGTACCCAGCAGGAGAGCTGGCCTGCAAGTCTTCAAAAAGCTAACAGTACATGGAAAACTGTATTTCTAAATCCTAGTTTTGATTTGGAACAGTTTCACATTGCTAAAAAAGCTTCTCCTGGATGAAAATTTCTGCTCTAGCAAGCTCTCAATAACCAATATTACAAAACTACTTTACTTGAAATGAAATCTGATTGCAAATTCAATTACTGTAGAGTTTTGGAATACATACCACAAATACAGGTCTTGGTATTCACTGTGTTGTATCCTTAGTTCTTTACTATTTGAGCTGTAATAGAAGAAAATTTTCCATGTATTTTGCTCTGAAGTTCAGTTTTTAGAGGGATTAGGGAACTAGAGGCTTGGACTTCTAGGACCTTGTATCTCTTTTGAAAAATGAGATATGTAAACTTGAATTTAAGTGCTTTTAATGATTTCCAACTACTAAAACAAAAAAGTAGAACTAAGAGCACATACCTATACTGAATCTGCATCTTAAAGTGGCTGCTAGTTAAAAATAACTTCTTTGTTTGTATTTCAGATTTCACCTAGGCTCATATACTATCCAGAATATCATTAGTTCATCAACTTCTCAGTTTGCAACAAAGGCACATCTGCTTGAGGTTGGTGGCTTAATCTACCAGAAAGGGATATTTTCTAGTGCCAATGTTGTCCCAAAAAGCAGGGTTCTTTTACCCGGTGTGCAAAAAGCTGAATAACACACACAGTTGAGATATTTGTTTATTTCATGTCTGCGCAGAGATGGGTGCTAGGTGGTAACTCCACAAAGCTAGCACACCTTGGTTAACATGCAGTGACATTTTATATATTCTGAATAGCTGTTAGCAGTTATTTTCACAATTCCACTTATCCATCCTTGCTTCTATTGGTTCTCACAAGCCTTGTCCCCACTTAGAAGTACAGCATGTTTTAAATTTACAGCTCATGCTCAGTGGGTAGGGGTCTTTGGTTGGGCCCGGGGCTTCATTGCTGGAGGTGTGGTTTTTACTATGTTAATTAGGATAGTTCAGTCATGGTTCAAGCGATTCTCACTTTGGCTTTATCAGCAGCCTTGTTTTCTCGTGCTTATCTGGGTATTTCATTGCTAGACTGTTTTGCAGTGTCCTCCGGTTTCTGCTCTCAGGGCAGGTCTTGTTATCTGTTTACAGAGGCTGATTAATGTCCTCTGCCTTAACATCCTTTGTCTTATTTCTCGCATATCTCCAACACCAATGCTGTTTTCATTTAATTAAGGGATGTTATTTCTGTCCTTAAGGCCCTTTGGCAAGGATATTCAGCTATTGCTTTCCCTATATCACACACGGGAAATACATATAAAGATGTTGAAGATTACGTACTGAGTCTATGGCAGAATTATGTATAGAGTTAAACCCAGTTATCTGTTTATACTGTTTTGTTTTCCTATTCACTGGAATATGCTGTCTCCCAAAATAATGTTTTGGTATAGATTTTGGAAAGAGGCTATGCTTTCTGCATCTCCGGAATGTGATAGAGTGCCATTAAAATGGCTTTGTTATTTTTGCTGTCAGCAATCCCAAGGAGCTATTGTGGAGGCTGAATATCAGTTAAGATCCAGTTAATAGCCATTAGAAATCTCTGTTTTCTTCCCTAACAAGGCCTTTAAGTTAATGTGTCAAGAATGGTTTATGGTTTAGTCTAATGTTTTCATTCAGATAATTTGATAGAGATAGTTGCTTATGGTTTGATCTCTAGTATTTTAAGTGTTAGCATTGACAATTATAATGATGAGTGGGTGTGAGGGTCATTCCAGAGCGCTGAAGAGGGTTGCTTATCAGTTCTTTGTCACAGAATGAGACTTCTTTTCAAGAACTTTGAGTGCTCTGTGATTGTTCTGTTATGAATATGGTAAGTGAATGTCTGTTTACTAGGGAAATAATTTACTGAAACCAAATAAGTTATTGCTGCAGTTCCTATGAAAAATGCTTTCCTTGCATTTCGGGAACTCCTTTGAGAGGCTTGCTTACTGATACAAATGATTCTTGGGAATGGATTTCCTGCAAGATATGTGTAGCCTTTGCTTCTGAACCTATTTGTGTGACCAGTGTTGATTTTAATTAAAATTTTCTTTTTCTTTCTTTTCTCTTGCTGTGCAGGTGAAGTCATTTTTTGAGTCAAAATCAGAAGAGAGTTCTCAACTGCGTTGTGTAAAAGAGGCAATTGACACAATTCAGCTCAATATCCAGTGGATGGAAAAGAACTTAGCAAAGCTACAAGAACTGCTGTAGTGCCCATAATGCTCTGGTGTGTCAGCCATTTAGGAGCTCTGTGGGCAGTGGCTGTGTTTCTTTTGCAAAAGCCAGGGTGAAACCAGGCATCACTGCAACGTTGATTGCACTATTAAGGAGTCTAGATAGCTCAGGGCATGTCTCAGATAAATTTTTATTTTCCTTGGAGCATTTATGAGCAAGATGTAAGTATTTATTCTGAAACTGTTTTCATCTATAGACCAAACATCTGCACAAATGATTAAATATCATTTTATATTTGAAATATATGCCCTTTCATTTGGAGTTGTGTTGTAGTTTCTTAGCAGTGGGTTAATATTGACAGGATCAGAAAGAAAGAAAGCATACCATGAACTGTTACTTCTTTGCAGACTGCTTGTTGAGCAGTAGATTTTTTAATGCAAAACTGCAGGTGGTTTCCACATTCGTAGATATAGAAGCTGTTGTGAAACAAAATCATATTCCAGATACGGAAGTAGTAGTGGATCTCATAAAGCACACCAGTTTGAGGTAAAATAAATAAGGTTTCACTTTTTTCGATTTTTTTTTTATTTTCACAGTATTCTTTAGGAATTACACAAAAAAATTAAGAATAATATCTTATGCTACTAGTATACAGTTTGATGTATAAAGTGGCTGGATAGTAATATGGAAAAGAAAAACCAGATAGCAAAACCAAGTGTTTTAGAGTTGGGATTTCCAGAAACACTGATGTAACCTTGGAACTTTTACTCTGAATTTGTTAGACATTTTTGAGAATCTCACCATTATTCATTGGACTTTAACTGATTTTGCTGTATTGATCTCTGAGGAACTGCACAAAATTGCATTTTTACAGGTTGGTTCTTCGTTAGACTGACTACTGATTTGTGCCCTTTTGACTACTGATTTTTTTATTTCACTACTTGTTGCAGAGGGTCTGCAATTAATAGATACATCAGCCACTTCATTTGGGTAAACTTCTGTTTTTTCCTTGCCTGATAACTTGTATGTCACAGTTTAATTTGTGAATATTGCTCACTCTTTATAACATAAGCTTTAGAAAAGCTTCTCATTTACATTTTAATGATTTCTTCTTCTACTGTTGTGATAAACCTTGTGAGATAAATCTTCAAAGTCTTTTAAAGAAAAGGATCTAAAACCCTAATGTGCTACATTAGAAAGCTGAAATACCTACTGTACAATCTGCATCTCTTTCAAAAGCAGTGAAAAAGGCCATTTTTGAGGTATAGCATATATATAAAACACATGCAAGAGTAAACATACCTTTTTATCTGGAGATCTGTTCTATTCATTTCACTACCAATACACCTTTTGCAGATTCATGCAAGCAGGTTCAGACCTGTTGTTGTCTGATCATCATTCAATTATGTGGTCAGTTATAAAATATGATGAAAGCACTAACAATTAAAAGTTGTACTATTTGAATTAAATTAATTTAATTTCAGCTACAGTAAATTCTGAAGGAGATAATTGTTTGAATTAGAGTTAATGGACTTAAAAATTTGTCACAGGGTAATTCAAATGGAATGCTTTATGGAACTGCAGCATTGGCTGTTCATTTGGTTAGCAAAAATTATAAGCTATGATTGCTTAAGCCATACCGTACTTTTCCCATCTTTTCAGAATATCTGTCAAAACTCCTGGAAAAGAAATTGCTCATTTTCCACCTCACATTAGAATCGCAGATGTCATTTTTAACCTTAAAATTATCAAAAAGAATGTTAACACTTAAGAGTGTGCAAACACTTGTTTGCCCAAAAGGCCCAGAAATGAATAATTTTTACATGCACTGAAGAAGGAACTGGCAGCATGAACATTGAAAATAATTCCTTATAAGTTATGGAATTAGAATTTTAATTAAATATGTTCTTGGAATTTTTGTACTGTCATGCATTATGACTTCATTTCCTGCTTTATTTTAAACCTTTGGAATCTCTACAGAAATATTAGTTCCATCTTTGCATGTTTGTGTGTGTGTGTATATATATATATTTTTTTTGTGTGTGTCATTTATTTTTCTTTCTAGTCACTTCTTCATATTAAATGAGAAGTCAGTAGTAAGCTTTCACTTTTCTATTTGGTCTATCCCCTCACATATGTTTTACCTCATCCCTGGCTGCAGTATTGAGTATGATAAAATTTAAAATGGGAACTGTGGGAGAAGATCCCATCTTCCTCCTGATTTCTGCTGTGGAATTTAAAAAAATTACTATTTTATTCAACTGCTTTAATGACCATTATGAGGAAATAGCATGGAGCTGAGTTTTAGACAGCAAACTATACTAAGAAAATCTGGAAAGTTGGGGAGGTTGTGGAGGGATTATTGAATAATTTTTCATTTTACTATTTGTTGCATATGGATACTTTTGGTATGTCAGTTGTACATGTTTTAAAACTATTTTTCTGTCATGGAGTGTCTGACCTTATTAAAAATTGTGCTGGAGTCCTTCTGTGAGAAATGCTTAAATATACTCCTCCCTGTTTGAGTATATTGGGAACTGATGAAGATTGGAATGGCTAAGACCTGTGCAGGACAGACAACCATTGCTGACAAGGCTCCATTTTGGATATGGGCTTAGGGTAGGGTGAAGGTCAGGAAAAGTGTTAGGGTTTGGTGCAAGACAAAGTATATAGCCCTAGCACTAGGGGAGCCATGGAAAGGCTGCCAAGGGAAGGTGAGGGCTGCCAAAGCTTTCAGTTCTGGGTACTTTTTATTGGGAGCTATAGCTGGCGGTGTCTGGGGTCCTGGACCTGGGGTCTGGCTAGGGTTAGGGTGAGTCTTAGACATTTGTGCAGGACGAAGAGCAGAGCCCCATTGTTCGTGCGGCTACAAAGGTGCTGCCAAAGGAAGGGTTGAGCTGCCAAAGCTTTCAGTCCTGGCCACTTTTGCCTAGGACCGTAAAGTGTGGGGTGTCACAATTTACATGGGTTCTGGTTAGGATTAGTGCGAGAGTAAAGCTTAGCCATAGGTGCAGGACAAAGAGCAGAGCACCAGTCTTTGTGGGGCTGTGAAGAAACAGTCAAGGGAGCACGAGGGCAGTCAAAACACTTTGGTCACAACAACCCCATGCAACGCTACAGGCTGGGGGAGGAGTGGCTGGAGAGCTGCCTGGCGGAAAGGGACCTGGGGGTGTTGGTCGACAGCCGCCTGAACATGAACCAGCAGTGTGGTCAGGTGGCCAA